TTTTCTAATATAATTTTTTCTCTCTCCTTTAATTGCTCTTAGTTTCAGTGAAATACAAATAAATGAAGAAGCATTTTATGCAAAATATCAAGATAGGAGTATCATTCTCATTCAATTTCCAAAAGAAGTGATTTAGTAAAAAATACAATGAGCACTCAACATTTGGATATTACTGCTACATCATCCACACGTGCTGCCAAACCATTTACCATTTCTTTGGTTATTTCATGAGCTAACCTAGAAAAGAAAATGAATTAATAAAAACTGAACTCAAAGTACCGAAGTTGAAATAATAACAATGCAATAAGGTTGTATTAAGATCAATAAGAAGTAGGGAAAACTTCCCCCAGTAACATTTTCTGAATTTCATGTAAAATTTAAGCTCGCAAAAAATTACGTTCGTAATATCTAAAAGATAAAGCAAACTAATGTTACTTAGTATTAACAGAAGAAGACTCAATGCCATTCGTTTTTTTTTTTCTTTCTAACTTTCATGTTAAATTTAAGCTCATTCCTACAATACATATATATTACTCCTTACAATACATTATTTTATTTCAACTTAATCTATTTTCATTGATTTGATTGAGTAAAGTGGTTCCACTACCAAACTTCTATCCTGAAATATGATTTGTAGCATAAGACAGGAAGCGAAATTAAAAAAATAATGCACCGATAAACCGTTTCTTGTTGAATTTTTTCTGATGTATCTCTGATTTTTGGGAATCTCTGTTTTGAAGGTAAAAATGACGTTGTGGTTCGACGTGATTGCATTAATCGACGTTTTTCCTGGAAAAATATTGAATCTAATCAATTGTGTCATAGTACAAACGTTGATAAAATTATATAATATAGATATTCCATAAATAACAAATATAAACGGAAACTCTTTTAATGCAAAGGACAGAAATTTTTGATAGAAAAATTAAGGTATGACTTTTCAGATAATCTTTTTTATATTGTGCAAGTTTCATTTTAATAACTTACATGAAGATCATGAGGTAGTAAATATCCCGGGCTACGATGTAATGTTTGTTGAACTTCACGAAAGGTTGCCGCAGATTTAGGTCTACGTGGAGTGCGTTGTAAAGGACTAATTTCACTAGATTTTCGCTTCACTAATTTAGTTGTTTTATATTCCTCTTTGATTCTTCCTGTGATCATCTGCAAATAGTGACTAACGTATAAAGTATCAAAACTATATAGTGAAAATAGGCAAAATTTGCTATAGACTTAAAATATTATATTTACTTCTTTTTGATTTTCTTCTGTAAATGTTTCCTGTCGTAATCTTTAAGATTCCGGAAATTTAACGAAGCAATTAATTAATGTTAATTTAAATGATCAATAGTAATAATATATACTCTCTCTGGTGGTTAATCAAAAATAAACTACATTATTAAATAATACTACTAAATGTACCAAAGCAAACAAAAACCTCATTTAAACGTCGCACGATCACGTTATGAAAGACATCGATGGCTTTTCGAAGCTGTTCAAATTTTGACGTGAAATTCTTTTCATGTATAGAGCAAAATTCTTCGAGACGATACAACATATCGCAGAGGCAGCTAGCAAAGAATGCACAATTGGCTATTTGAAATGGACTAAAAATAAACATTTCCAAAACTCGAATTTCACGAAAAATTCCGATTAACTGATTTGGTTTAATCAATTATTATGGGAGTTTTTTTTTTTTTTTTTTGACGCTTATTCCACTATTACCATTATTATCATTTATTGCCAATGTCACTATCAATTGTATTTTATGCTAAGAAAAACTAGAATTTTTTCATTCTATATCTATATTTTGCAATTCATTGAAACTGCTTCGTTCTATGTAGCATTATCGGTCATTATTGATAATTCTAATGTAAAAATGATAATTAATGGTTAGTATCTTAGTTTTTATTAAAAGTTTAAAGATGAAAATACTGTAACAGTAAATAAAAAAAAAATGAAAATACGAACTAACGTAGTGCCAAATAAAAAAAAAAAAAAAGATCCCATAATAATAACTAACGTTGAAATTCTGGCAGCAAAACAACGCAACAATGTATAAAGACGTCTAATAAATTGTTCGAAACGTAGCAGCTGGAAGTGATCAGAATTTACAAATTTTTCCAGTTGTAATCGAACAGAAAATAATGCAGCAGCATCACGATTTATATTAGCACCAATATCACAGAATGCAAGATTTGCTAAAACATGATTCATAATTATATGCGCTGTCTTTTTTATAGTTATATGTTTCATGCATTTATTTCCTTGCTTAATTTTTAATAATTTATTTGTTCAAAACTATTTTTATGAACAACAAATGGCCATGATAGAACACAGTAGTTATGAATCATAGTACTTTTTCATTCTTATAATTTTTTAATCTTGTAATTTTATACCAACGAAACAAACAATCACAAACGATGTTTCGTTATATGTTAACTTTTCATGCTCCAACCATACCTGCCAATAATTACTATTATCAATGATATCTTAATAGTAATTACTTACAGCTTTTGATGAACGATTCCACGATAAGCTTCAAGTGGCATATCAATAAATCCACATTTTCATGGATAATCACACGTCGACAACTTGTTGGTGATTCAAATCCCAAGTTTTGAATGATTAATTGTTGTCCATAAGTAGTAGTATCAGTTGATCTAACATCATTTAGTATTTCTTTCACCGTACTATCAATAAGATACTTTTGAAAGGAACGTTTAGTTAGTAGTTTCTTGAAGATTTGTTGCGCAATAATTTCGGACTTCATCTCAGGTAATGGACGTCTCACCTGAGATGATGAATGTTTCATCTGAGATGGCGAACATTCACCTGGATCATCGCTCATATCTGTAAATAGAAGATTTTACCACTACGTCAAATAATTGTGTGATTTAATTATTAATAATTACTAATTTCCTAATTATTGATACTTTAGCTTTATCGTTTATCGTTAAACCTTCATGTACATATTCGATAATAAAAAGTGATTAAGTGAAATATTCACAACAAAGGAATGAAATTAATAAATAATATATTTTGTATACTAAAATAGGTAAAGAATTTATATCATAATTAGTTGAAGTATTCCTAACAAACATATAAATTATGTTCATGTATTAAAAAACAACACGAATTAAAGGAACAAAGATATATATGTATTTCTTGAGTTTACATATTCATAAAATATGCATGATTATTTCACATAAACCATGAAACGAAATCTTCACATATATATTATTTCTTTTATTCTTTTATATAAATTAAACCAAAGTTCTACAATAAAAGATGTAAAAAGTTTAGTTAATATTAAATTAAATAATAAACAAAAGAGAGAAAGAAAGAAACAAGCGGATAAACAATAAACAGTTCGTTCATATCGTATATTTCCAATACGATAGCATAGTTTGCAGAGCTAAAACAATCTGAAATATCTCAATACTTTCTAATATTTGATGAATTACAAATGAATTAATAAAGTTAATGGATGAAAATTTCACCGAGTTGCTTATTTTAAACAGTCATCAAAACATTTTCATTAAAATTCAAAAAAAAAAAAAAAAAAAGAAAAAAGCATAAAAGACTAAATCTAATCATTTTCCACTCTATAATTATATCTATAATTTATTTTTTGATTATCAAAATTTTCAAATTCTATTCACACTTAAAATTTTTGATAATTATAATTAAAATCATAGTATTTTTATAGTCGTTCAGTGAATTGAATGGAATTTCAAACTTACAGTTTTCTAAAGCAATTTTTTTTTTCTTTCTACGTGAAAAAAAAAAAAAATCAATACATGAAAAGAAAATGATAAGAAAACAAACATTTAAAAGAAACGAGAAATACCGGAAGAATAGATGACAAAAGGTCATAACTAACCTTATTTCAATAATATGACATCATGCACGATGGACAATTGACCAACAACCTCTGACCTCAAATTGACAACCACTGAAAAGAAAAGAGAGAAAAAACAACATTTCCTCTCTCATCGTTTGTCTCACACAATGTGATTTATTTCCATTCCTCTTCCCTTTCTCTCCCTCCCTCTCTCCTCCTCCCTTCCCTTTCTCTCTCCCTCTCTCTGCTACCACACCTTAATTCCTTTTAAAAGTTATCATTTTTACCTTTTCTTCTTTTTCTTTACTTTCCTGAATCTCTCTTTTATTTTATTATTATTGTTTACGAAATCAATTATATATATAAGAAAATGCATTCATTCATTCATTCATTCGTTATCACTATTTATTATCAGTTGAATTGATAAACTTAATATTTTAGTGAATTACTCAAACATTGTAATGATTTGTATTTTTTTTTTTTTTTTAGTCTGTTTAAATATTTTTTTTCAGGTAATTACACTTAAATTTATACTTATAAAATTCAATTTAATGTCAGTTAGAATAAAGTAAAATAGATAGTTTCTTTCTTTCTTTCTTTTTCTTTAGGTCCAATTAATTAAATTTTTCCATAGAAAATGTTTAGAAAGTTAAATAGAGTAGTTAAATTAGCTAGAGTCTATACAATACTTAGCAGTAACATTATATACAGCTTCACTAACCTAATCATTATCAATTTTTACCTTTCCTTGATTATTTGCCCATCTACTGTTTACCCATCCATAATGATTGCTAAATGTATCATCGATAGAGACTCAACATTCAGCATTTAGAGTTTACCTAGTTTTAATTTAAATATAATTTTCTTCACCTCAATAAGCACCTAAAAGATATCATTTCAGATTGATTGATTTCGAGATTCGGGATCAATTTCTAAATTAATTTCTCGTCCGAGAAAAAAGAGAAAAAAGAAATATAAAATCATATATTAGGTCAATTGTTTCTTTTTTTTTCTCATATTCATTTCACAAGTTATCAGAATGATAATTCATACAATTAAAGTTTAGTTTTTCCTTTTTTTTTTTTTTGTTTAATACCTCGAGACTATTTCATTACTTGTAAATTTAGGATGAAAAGATAATACAAAAGCATTGATGGCTCGAAGAGTTTTGGTATTTGTTTATGGAACACTGAAACGTGGTGAACCAAATGCATCAATTATGGCAGATCTGGTAACCGGAATGCAAAGATTCATAGGAACCGGTAAAACAGTGAATGCATATCCTCTGATTATTGCTTCTGAATACAATATACCTTTTTGTTTGGACAAACCTGGAATTGGAAATGTAAGTTTTATGCATTCAATTATTATTCTCTGAATAGAGGAAATTCAAATTAAATTAAATTAAATTAAATCGAAGCAGGTCTGGGAAGTGAAATTTTGCTAGAGAATTAAAATCTTACAATTAAACAATACAGAAAGCTTTGTATTGATATAGTTAAAACTATAGAATAGAAATGAATAATTTTTACCTTTCATATCAATCAATATTTCCTAATTTTTACTTCTGACATTCCATTCCTGCTTCCATTTAATTTAATTTCTAAGGGTTATCTAATACAAATTACAAAAAAAAAGAAAAAAAAATGTCTTGTAGCGTATAAGTGGCGAATTATATGAAGTTGATGAGCAAAAACTAGAGGTACTTGATGAATTCGAAGGACATCCAACTTTCTACCGAAGACAACCACAACAGGTTTCATTCGTCATCCAATTTAATATATCATATTAATTTTTCTTTATATGTGACAATTCCAATGGAATAAATATCAGGTTGAAATGGATCATAATGGTACCACCGTAACAGCATGGATATATATGTTATCCAAATGGACACCAAATTTACTTCAAAGTTCTAGTAATTACTTGGAAACATACAATTCTAATGGTCCTCACAATCGGCCATATATTCAAGGGTTAGAATTTATGAAACTTCAAGCTAGGACTTTTTTTTTTTCTGAGAAAAATCCGAATTTCGCAGTGATAAATTTTGAGAAACGAAAAGTCCGAATTAATAAATTTCTGATGAGCTACCCTGCGACATATTCCAGAAAGGGCAATATACAGATTTCAAATTAAACTTAAGGACCAAAAACGTGCATAATTTGCATTTGCCTACGAAAAAATACAATTTTGTGCAAATTTATTAGAAATAATGGGAAAAAAACAAACTCACACTCAAGTGTGACTAGCTCTAAGTTGCATTTATAAGTGTATAATTAACCAGTCTATTATTTCCTAGATCTTACGCTTAATATTCAAAAGTTAAGAATCTATTTCAGATCAGTCTGAAACTTCACTTTAAGTTACTACTAAGTGTGAGACAGCGCTCATTAACCATTTGATATGAATGGCGCATAATACTAACGTAAATATATTCGAGCAAAAAGTTTACACATTTAATATTAATAAAATCCTTTTTCAGAGAAAACTGCCAATGTTTGGACGATTTATGAACTACATGTAGTTCATTGTGAAAAGTTCACAATTCTATATGTGTCTGTAATTTATACTTGAAATAAAACAACGAACAGTTGAAAGAGCATGAAACGAACTTATTATAAACATTGTAAATATTTCCTACATCAAAATTTCGAAGAGAATTATATAAACAAATTAAACACAACATTGAAAAATATGAAAAGATTACCAGTAAGTATGACGATGTGCAAAGCCGTAGCTAAGGAATCGAAAAGAATTTCCAAGGTGAAACAATACAATTAAAATATCGGTTTTTTTAATCAATAGTGTGAAGTAATAATAGTAAGTCACTGGTATGAAGATGAAGTTTTCTACAACTAATTTCTTTCCTAATTAAAAAATTGTTGCAGAAGCAAATACATTAAAAGAATTCCTTAACTGCGAAGGTTGATTGACTGAAATAACCTGAATGTCCACTCGATAAAACAAAAACATTTTATCTGGAAGTTTTTTCTCTCAACCAACAGCACTCACTTCATCCTGTATTTTAAGGAAGAATTTAAATACTATTTGATGAAAAGCTCTTTTTAGTAGAAGTTAACACTTTACTAGCTGAAAGCTTGTTGTTCTTCTCGTTAACCAATGCTTCAGCAATTTTCTCTTCCTCAGTCATAGTTGGAGTTGCTATCGAAACATTTTCATCATTCGATTGCATTAGCTTCATTTTACTCCGAATGGTTTCCGGTAACACTGCAATTTCATCATAAGTGACTTTCATTGCAACTCCTTCCGGTATATTTCGCTGAATGTATTCCAGGAATGTACTCGCTGTACTACCGGTAACATGTCGAATTGTAAGTTGACGAATATGTGTTCTTGTCTCATAATGAATTTGATTCTTCTTTTTTGCAAATTTAGCTCTGAGAGCATTTTGGATCCACCATACGTACGGAAATACTTTTACAGAAACTATCTCAAGTTCCAGGTGTTTGCAAACGGCCTAAAAAAAAGATTTTCATAAAATCACAATTTTGTTCTAACAAACTTATCGTTCATCATATATATATATGGTTTCCACTAAGTAGAAATAGTTGCATTCAGCTGAAATAGTTCATTTTAAAACAACTTTACCTTCAGAAATGTGGTATAAGACTTCAACACTGCCTTGTCATGACCTCTATACTCCAACTCAATACGCGGAAATAATCGATCTAATTCAACGACCGAATCTTGTTTAAAAGATGGCCTAAATTTTAAATATCTAAAAAATTTAGGACTACAGAAGTGGTCTAGAAATATGCTTCAAAATGAAATCAATTATTCATTTTCTATAATTGGTTATGTAATACGCATACCCAAACATATCCACATATCATTTCAAAATCTATTACATAAGAGAATATTTACTATTTCTAACTCGTCTCTCTTCCTTTGAAAATCCGAACATTGCTTATGCCACCATAAGAGATCATAATAACTTCAATCTCAAATTAAAGCTTATCAACTGCAGCCGATGAAAGTCACAATAGATGAACGAAACTCACGTCAGTGGTGCAGCAATACGTGAATACGGTCGAACTGAAGGTATAACGGATGAAAGATAAACATCGAGAAAACCTCGAACGACATGTATACGTCCGAACATTCCCGTGAGCAACGAGTAACGAGAGATTTACACGTATACCATCCTATCGCCACGTCATTCTGCATAAATCAAGTGCAACTATCACAGAAAAAGTTACCACTCAAATAAAACCTTATCCAGTAACAGAACAAAACACTCCTCTTCGCTTCCGTCTCTGCATACGAAATTTAACCTACTCAGTATCCAAAGAATTAAATCCAAACATTCCTGGGCTTCATTTTATGTCTCAGTCATTTCACCACATTTGCAATATCATTGTTTTCATGACCTTTACTAAATGCAAAAAGGAACAGAATGGCAAAGCATTATGACTTCTATAAATCCGCTGTAATGCAATGAAGGCAACACAATGGAAATATCATTTTTCAAGAAAAATCTAACCGACAATTAGATAAAGAAGAGGAGATAACAATAAGACCTCCTACTTCACGTGCTTAGCATAAAAGTAAATTCTGCTTAAGGTAAAATGATCATTTGCGAAAAGGCGAAAGAACAAAATAAGCAATATGTGCGACAGTATAACAAATCCTGTTTTCATTTCCCCGAAAGAAAAACCCAATACACAGTAAAACATTTCTGCAAGAAAAATCAAAATTTGTAATGAATAAACTGTTAAGAAAGTTGCCCATATATACGAGTTTACCACAAAGAAATTCAAAGCATCCTTTCAATTTTTTAAAATCCCAATCAAATGATATAAAACCTGGAACATTTCATATTTCTGCTACATAACAACGTTACTGACGTCTAATGATATATTCTCCAGAACCCATATATGTATTGCGCTGAACATGTAACCGAGCAACCAACAACTAGTTCCAAACACTTACTATATTAAACTATTAAGCAGCCTTTGATGTATTACTAATAGCTTTTCCAGAAACTTGGAGAAAAATCTTAAAAAAAGAAAAAGAAAAGAAACAAGAACTATCAGGAGCAATTCGAAATTCTTCAAAAACTAAGCTGTTATTAAAAAAAGTATATAAACTAAATATAGGCAAAGCTACAGTTAAAATTCCATGAAACACAAGAAAAAAATACACAGAAGCTTACATAAAAGCATAGGAGAAAACAACACGAATACCTCGTAACAAAGAAAAGAGCACAACTGCTGATGGGAAATACTCGGAATAAACACCAACAAATATATATGGGTCCAAAGAAATCATTATAAATAGTTCAAGAAAAGCCAAATGTGAAGAATAAAACAATTCTGGGCATCAAAGACAATACTAAACGTCCTCAGTTCCGGTTCTAATAAGAAATCGTTACAAGCTTTGAAATTAAAGTTCAAATGTCTCGCTAAACGCAGAAAAAAGTTACAGAAAAAATTCATAGTTAACAAAATTGTCCACTACTAATAACATTTACTTTCATGACATTTTTTTGGTAAAATTCCCCTGGAAGCGTCGTCGTATTGGAGTAATATAAGTATTTGAGTTATTCGTTTGAAGTGGATGTGACGGAGGTACTGGATTTGGTGTCCCACTTGATGTTACCTACAAATTTTGACAATATTTGCAACATTTACTCAAACCATATTTCTTTTATATTTCACAAGAAAGAATTAAAGATAATAAACAGTTACTCACTTGTCTAACTGTTGAAAGCAACGCGGTACGATCAGCATTCGATGATGACATACCACCACCACTAGCATGTTGCCAAGCATTGCTAGTTCCTTTATTTGTCCAAGGGCCTGATGAATCTCTATCAAATGAAACTGTTGTAAATCCATCATTTCGTCTATAATCAAACAAAAAAGTAAATTTCTAACTACCGCGGAAATAAATCAAGCAAACAGATCGCCTAAAAGATCCTTCCGGCTCGTGCAAAAAAATAGTAACAGCAGAACAAAGTAACCTCCTCTTTTCATCATCCTTCTTTAGCTTTTCGATTTTTTCTGCAGCTTCAAAAGTTGGGAATAAATCTTGATCGTTAATATTTGGCACTGCACTCGCTCTGGTAATATTTTGCATCAAACAACGCGGTTTCCAAACAGCTGTTGTCTGTTTTTTAGGCACTGATAGGATTTCCTCAGATTCCTTTTTCTGCAAAAAAGAAAAACAGCAGTTTTCTCGTAATCCGATATACTCCCATATTACTACGTATTCATTATATCTCTTTGTACTGAATAAAGACATTAATGAGCCTCGAATTGCCACAGTAATCATCAAAAAAGAGTTAGTTCCACTTATTTAACTACATGTTCAAATCATACAGTCACACTTCTTTTCGATCATTCTGAAACATGTTTTATATATAGTAAAATCACCAATAAAATGAAAATCCCTTATGTACAGTACTATTCGAAAATCAACAAACCTCTGCAGTACTCCACGTTTTCGGGGCTTCATTGGTAGCTGCTTTTTCGTCTTCCATGGCTTCTTCAGTTTGCTCAGTTAGATTCATGTCTCGAATTCCGAGTTCTTCAAGAGCAATTTCTCTATAAAAAGATACAATGGAAGTTCAATAAACGAAATGAGAAATACTAAAAGACAAGTTAAATTCAACCTGTGTACTATTTCTAAATGCATTACATACGTCAGAAATTCAACATGTGAATAAAATAACATAACAAGAACGAACTTATTTGTATCTTTATATTCAAGCCATTCAGAATCTTCTGGACGTTTATCGAAAAAAGAAGCATCATCTTGGGCACGTCGTTCTTCTTCCTCATCTTCACGATCGCGTTCTTCCTAACAATAACTGTGTGTAGACATATATTTCACTATTCCCATTTGATTATTGCTCCCAGGAAAACACTAAGAAAATTTCTTTATGATTTTTATCCTGCCTACACTTTTTAAAATATGGAAAAAATTTAAATTCTTTAACAAAAAAAAAAAGACCTCAATGTATGTAACAAAATCAGATAACTCAGTAACTGACCTGCCGTCTCGCTTTTCTCTCTAGAACCTGACCGACCTCATCGACACTCAGCTTTACTTTTTTCTTCTTATCTTTCACTTTAGCAGATTTCTTAGCAAAAAACTGTGACAAATCGTCACCCATCTGTAAATTCATACATACGTTTGCGCATATTCTTACTTCAATATATATCAGTTGTCTAACAGAAATATTTAAGGTGTGTCTTAGCTACAAAACAGTAGCAATTTGGAAATAAAGTATCGAAAATCAAAAACAAAAGTAAATGTGAAGATTACCCGAACGCAGAATCTAGAGTAGAAATGGAAATAAACACAAATATGACATAGGGTTTGCATGATTTTACACTACGACATTAATATCATTTATTATAGCTTAGTAAATCTAAGACAATAATCCTTTCTCAATATTTGACACATATCCACCCTCGTTTCCAAATCACTCTCCTAGGTTTACCTCACCATTTCATAACAATTCCAAAATATGATATATTCTATT